CCCCCCAAAAAAAAATATATATATATATATATATGCACAAAATGGAAAGAAGAAAAAACGAGGAGAGAGATAGAGAACCTCTTGGGAATCCTAGTAGAGATTATACGGAAGACTTACCAATTTACATACTTTGTTTAGGAAATGTAATTAGGGTTTAATTATACAAGTTTTATAGCATTCTTTAGTTTTTTCCAACTTAAATTAGTTTACTTGAAAACCATATAAAAGGGGCTTATGCATTGTCATGTTAGCCTTGATTATTGAATAAACTCGTACTTTCTCCTTCTTACTCTCTTTCTCCACCTCTTTTGCTTTCTCTCTCAAGTTTCATTCTTGTTCGATTGTGCTCTACATCAGAACTCCTTAGAAGAAGTGTTTCCTTGCTCTTCCTTTCTATGTCAATGACATTTCCATTTATTTTAAACCTAATTGTTACAATGATTTGGTGTGCAGCTAGTTAAAACAGAAGATGGTATAAAAGTACGCACCGACCATGGTGAAGAATTGCTGGCAGATGTGGTACTTTTTGCCACTGGTAATCTCAAAACATTTTCTTGTATACATAAAAGTGATAGTTTAATGTTTAACATGTTCTGGTTTACCTCGTTTTAAGAAATAAATGTTTTTCAAGGGGGGAAAAAATGCAATAGAAAATTGCTGTGTATAAAACTGTTGTTTTTGGTCACTTGAGAATCATGTTGTCACCTTGTTCAGTCATTATTTTTTCATGATTTAAGTGCGCAATTATTAATTTTTCCCCACTTTGAATTACTGTTCATCGATAAACCAAACGATATCCATAATTTGTAAGTTGGTGGTACAGTGCATTTGAGGTTAAATGTAATGAGGCTTAATTCTACATTCAATACTGTATCAGCAGAAAAATATCCTTTGGGTAGATAGCACGGGATCTAATTTTTTTTTTGCCCTTTTAATTTCTGCTGAAGAAGGTACACACATGATAAGTGATTTTGTAATACAAATTTCTGTTCAGCAGTTTGTCTTTCATAGTGACAGGGGACTATTTTTGTGATTTTTATGTTTGATAGTTTGCATTGCACTTATGTAGTATGTTGTGCATGAAGTCCTAAAATCTCTAATCAGGAGCAGTTTTTATTTTTCTACTTCTTTTGGCTAACGTTCTTTCTCTGGTGAGAGGTTGATTATTATTGTCTTGGCTATTGGCTGCAGGTAGGGCACCTAACACAAAGAGGTTGAATCTGGAAGCTGTAGGTGTTGAACTTGATAAGACTGGAGCTGTGAAGGTTACTGGCCCTGTTATTGAGTTCTCTTTCCTATTTGTGTTATGAAAAAGTGCGTGAATTGAAGTCTTGAAGATGATGTAACTTGTTGATTTAGCTTGAAACATTACATAGCTTGTGATGGGAATCCTAGTAGAAAAACTATTTAATTTACTTCTCCAATTGGATATTTTAGGAAATTTACTTTCCGAATTGGATACTTATTTTATAAAACATGATTATGTATTAGATTTTCTACTGTTTTCCTACTTGATTATACTAAATTAAATATAAAGGGCTTATACATTCTAATAGTTACACTAGATATTGAATAAAATTGGTATTTTCTCCCTCGAAATTCTTTTTTTTCTCTTGGCCTTCTTCTCTTTTGTCTTTCCCTTCTCTCTTTTCCTCTTTCTTTCTCAACTCGTTCTTGTTCGATATTGTTCTATGACACCCTGGTCTCAGGGATCTAATAATCTAGTCACTCTCAGCTTGGGCTATGAATATGCACTAGAGCATGGCCAGTTTTGTTGCCTCAAGTGTTCATCAAGAAGTCCATAGTGTAGTTGTACCCCGTCATTGTTTGACCTGGGTGAATAATAAAGTTGGATTCCTAAAATTTTCATGGCTTAATGGAGCGCTATTTATTTATTTTATTTATTTTGGCTTTTTGACATGGCATTTGGCTTTATATATTCTCCTTGGGGATGAGATATCACAATAAAATTTTTTGTCATCTTGATTCATATGCCATATTAGTTATCTTCTAGTTCATCGATCCCTGAATTTCCAATGTCAGGTTGACGAATACTCTCGCACCAACTTACCTAGCATATGGGCCATTGGTGACGTTACAAACCGAATGAATCTTACTCCTGTTGCATTAATGGAAGGAACCTGTTTTGCCGTATATTTTCTACCGAACTCTCATTATCTTTGTTTGAGTTCTACAAGCTCTTTTTCATTAATGAACTCGTAGTCAACATGCTACATAATTGTTTTTGTTCCTATGTAATTTACTTCTTAATTTTATGTTGGTGCAGAAAACTGTTTTTGGTGGACAACCCTCCAAACCTGATTACAGCAACGTTCCTTGTGCTGTTTTCTGGTATTACCATCTCTCCTTGGCCATTTTTTAAAATTGTTTGCTTTATTATTCTTCACTTTGCATATTTAACGGTATTAGACTTGTGTGGCAGTTTTTTTGTTTGGTAATACTTAACACTACAAGTTGTACACAATAATTACTTCCATTTACGATTTTGATGTTTGTGGAGTATGAACAGTTGGTTTATGTTTTCACTATACAAACCATGACCTATTTTCTAGGGTTCTTTAGAAATCTACTGCTAATGCTTTTTGATATAGAATGCTATCAGTTTGCAGTTTCACTGATACTGCGATAATTTTATTTAGTGTCTGTGCTCTTGAAGGCAAAGATAGTGTAACTGTTCTTGTGGTGAAGAACATTTTTGTCTATGTTGATGTGAACCTTGGTGATTGAATTGGTCTCAAAATATTCCCGGTTTCATAACTTTCATGGTGAAAGTTGAATTCCACTTGTTACATAAATGGGGAACCCACATTTCAAAAGCTGTGACAATGAAAACAGAAGTAATAAAGGAGTTAGCTTACCTAAAATGAGACAAACTAGAAAATTATAAACCAATGTTTTTAGTGTGAAGTTAGGCTAGACTATGACTTTTATCCCCTGCCGAAACACAATTAAAGCCTAAGCCAGGTTTTTATGCCTCCACCTAGACCCAGGTGGTGGAGGATTTGATGTCTCCCATGCGTATTTTAAACTAGAACTCGTTGTTTACTGGTACAACCAAATAAGATTTAGGTATGTTGGAGAACTCTTAGGTTACGAAACCATAAAATTAGAGCATCCATCACCTTATGCGAATAATTTTGAAGATAGGAAAATATAGATGTAAATTCACTCTACTATATTAATGTAACTTAAAAAGAGAAGTAGATGTGAGACGGATGATAGTGGTAATATTTAATGTTGAAGGCGAGATTTGATTGAATACACGTGGTCCCTCTTTAATGGCTTAAGCTTTTAGATGAGGCGGTTAACATGGTACCAAAGCCAAACCCAAAGCCAAAGCCAAAGTGATATAGTACATCACAACTACAATTAATAGTTTCCTGCTACAATTATATTTTATCTTTTCTATTATGTTTATCTATTTAGTTTTCTTGTATAATTGTGATGGAACTTTTGTCCCCTATTTAATTAAGATTATAGTTTTAATTAGTTTCAATATCCTAATACTATTAGAAGTAGGGAATAATCTTGCCTGTAAATGTAGGGGTATTGTACACTTTTCATATCATCAATCATTATCCATTCAATACAAAGTAAGTTATTCCATTATATTTCTCATTTCAATTCTTATTACAAGAATTTCATGGAAATTAACAATGAAAATAAGCATTAGGATGAAAAACACTTGGGTGAAATTACAATTGAAAATCCCATGATCGAGCCACAGTCTGATGATGAACAAGTTGAAATTCAGAAGTGTCCAACAAGAGAGGAGGAAATTAAACTTTCAACTTACTAAGGAATCAAAGGTCTTAAATCTCATGCTATCACATTGTACGAAGCGAGAAAACTCGATAATACTAGCATTGCAGATGTTTGTAAGGATCTAGGTACATTAGAAGGAATCAGATTTGAAGGAGAATTGCAAGAATTTGCCAATCATGCATTCAGTCTCCAGTGTGTCCTGGAATATCTAATATCAGGTGGTGTTGTTACTAATGAGGAGGCAACTTTGATATATGATGTTTCTTTGGTCAATAGATATGGAGGAACTGGTGCAAACAAATCTGGGTCAAATATTGAGGATTCTGTGGATTCAAGAATGACCCAAGAAGATTATGACTCCAGTGAACTGTTAACTGGAAGTAATGGTGATGAAAAGTCATTTGCTACCGTATTTAAGGAGATTAACCGTGATGGGGATTCCATATCAAATCTTTGTGTATCAAATGAAGAGAACTCATATTCTGTCGAGGGTTTAGATGCTATGGTGGAGAGATGCTCCTGAGCAGGTTCCGAACCTGACAAAATCTGCATGTACAGGCATTGGTTTAGAGTTTCATGAATAGGGTTGAACCTTAATGCAAAAAATGACAGAATGTGGAAAGTAGGAATAATTTTTAATGTTTCAATTGGTTTCCAGAATATGCAAACTGGACTAGCAATCTCAAAAGTCATAACTTTTCATTATTACTTGCAGACACAATGATTGTGACAGAAATTTTTGAATATTTTCCTCCAAATTGATTGATTTTCTTTTCTTCAACCAAACTCGAGGACAAGTTTTCTTCAAGTGGAAGGGATTGATGTAGCATCACAAATACAATTAATAGTTTCCTACTAAAATTATGTTTTATTTTTTCTAGGAGTTTTATTTTTTCTATTATGTTTATCTATTTAGTTTTCTTGTATAATTGTGATAGAACTTTTAACTTTTTTTTTAATTAGGATTATAATTTCAATTAGTTTCAATTTCCTAATACTATTAAAAGTAGGGAATAATCTTGCCCATTAATATAGGGGTATTGTACACTTTTCATATCATCAAGTTATTATTCAATCAATACAAAGCAACTTATTCCAATATATATCTTATTTCAAATCTTATTACAAGAATTTCATAATGCTTCCGCACCACAAAGCAAAGCAAAGGTGTGTTGAAGATGAGATTTAAATGGATGCTTGAGTCCACCAACAAGTTGACCACTTAAATGATTTAAAACATAAAATCTTACAATCTAGGAATGGACTATATCATTGCGTGTTGAGCAACAGCATATCTGCTAGAACTGGGTTCTTGGCTTAGTGAAAAGTACCTTAATAACTAGTTCTTGTTAATACCAGATAATAGATTTGGGATTGGGAAATTTTGCATTTTGGTTTATTAGTTTTTCTTATATCTACACTGCTAATACCTTGATTTTAAGTGAGGACTTGAGTGTATATGATTTTTCACAGTGAATATAATGCGACAACCATGTTCCACCATTTCCTTACCAACAATAGACTAAAATTTGTGTCAAATTCTATCACACTGGGCCTTTCTCTTTCTTTGTTTATTTAATCAGAGCCATCAATATTATAACTTCAATCTCTTGTTGCTTGACAGCATACCACCATTGTCGGTAGTTGGTCTCAGTGAGGAACAGGCCATTGAGCAAGCAAATGGTGATGTTTTGGCCTTCACATCAACATTTAATCCAATGAAGAACACCATTTCTGGGTATGTTGATTGAACACTGGTATTGTATGCCGAAAATAAAATAGGCCGATCTTCTCAATGATTCTTTCAATGCAAGTGTTGTAGCTATGAGCATATAATACTAGAGACAAATACCTTGTAACCCAAAGATTCTGCTGTTTCAGAACTTCTAAAAAGTCGGTGAAATGTTTCTTTGCACGGTTGGCCAATTCATATTGGTTATGATGACCCAATAACAGCATTATTTGCACAATAAGTTATCTTCATTATATTCATTGATTTGATTAATGCAGAATGGTGACAATTTAACATTGCCTAAAATTTTTTTGGGAACTGTTATTAATTGAACTTCACGACATTAAATTTTGATTTTAATAAAATAATAATAATAAAATAAAAAATTTGTTGTAGCATGTTCTTTATAACTGGATGATATGTGGTTTTGTGGCATAGACGTCAGGAGAAAACGGTTATGAAGCTTGTCGTTGATGGTGAGACTGATAAAGTTCTTGGAGCATCCATGTGTGGGCCTGATGCTGCTGAGATCATGCAGGTATACATATAGATCTTTACTCATTTTTTCTTAATTCATAAATGTTGGGCATCATAGTTTTCATGTTGTTGAAGGGTAAATGAATTGAATTTGAGTACAAGCGGAAATAGAAGCTTAAATATGTAGGTTGATCGTAGATTATGAGCTTTACGTTTTGATTACCTCTATTAATATTTTGGGTTTGAGCGTCGTCCATGTCATTTAGAAATGGCTTAGGTCCTATTAGCTTCACTTTCCCTTATGCTTCTTTCCCTCTTCTTGGAGTCTCTTTCTTTTGTGGTTCTATAGTGAATTTTTGTGAATTGTTCACGAAAATATATTTCGATTTAAGACCACCGCAAGTGTACAGTTCGTTAACAAGTAATATAGTGGATTTTGAGTCCAAATATCGTCCCATTGGGATTGATTTAGTTCAATTTTTATTACCGTGGCCTTAACAGAAACAAAATAATGCTATGTGTTGTTGTGATGAAATTATAAGTAAAATAAATTATGTATGCAACCAAGAATGAGTTAACTAAACCTAATGCAAATTGTGCTAAGTAGAAGTTTATGTTCTAATGAATAACAAACATCCCGTGCAATAATCCTTTTTAATCTTTGCTTTACGCTTTGACTACACGATTGTATATTGAAGAATCAATGTTCCTATTATATTCAACAATCTCTCTTGAGTAATATTAAACCTATTTTCATATATGACCCGACTATATCTCTATGATGAATATGAATATATAAGAATGCATGAATTTTTATGAAAAGTTAAAGATTCACATTAGGTATAGTTATATATCTATATCCTTTATCGGACCCTATGACGATTTATACCATATCGAGCTTATTTCCCTTCTTTCGAATGCATAAAATAAGCAATCATATTCACACAATTACCATGCACAATAATTGTGGATAAAAGAAATTCATACAAACCATTCAATATCCAAAAACGTATTTTTGATGTCAAATATGTAAAATTAAAGATTAAAAATTCATATAGCTCATTGTTCTTCTAGCATAAATAAATCTAGCTAAGCATGTTGGAAAGAAAAAAACAAGAAGAATATTGAAGAAATGATATCACCAATGTAATAGTTTTGAATTAAATCTTCATGTCTTTGGGTCGATCTTCGTGTTTATTGTCCCCTATGCTCTAAAGCCCTTATGAATGTGTTTGAATGCGTAATGAACACTTATGGACGGTCCTAGGGTTTTAAAACACGTCCCAAGAGTTGTTTCTATAAGAATTTGAACCAAATAAGGAAACCAAATCTTCCCACCGGATTTGTACTACAGATCAATGCTATAGCATAGTTCAATGGAATATTGCCCTGACGTTTGCTGAATATAGGTATGCGACCCATAGTGTTGCTGAACTTCCAACATTTGCATTTTAGTTCCCGAACTCCATTTTCTCGTTTCTTGACCTCTTTTCTCATTTGTCTTTCTCCAATATTTCATGTCTTCACTAAATTGGTCACTGATTCTTCCACATTTTCGTTCCTTCTTTTGAGTCATCTTTCAATTATTTGTACTTTGGTCCCTAAACTTTTGTTTTCTTTCATTTTGGTCCCTTTTTCACTTGTTTTTCCTCATTTCAGTCATATTCATCAATGTTGTCCTACAAAACATAATTTATATGGAATTAAGCCATATTTTGTCATATTTATCAACAATTATTCATGTTTTGTGGTTAAAATAAGTGGTAAATGCACTTACCATAAATCCTCTCTAACTGTTGACTGGCTCGAATTCCACTACGGTCTAAACCATCCTCAAGGAAAATTAATCTAGATTTACCATTTGACACAGACATCTCTCATGCTTTTGACCCTTTTACACTTGTTGACATAGAAAAACACACCAACCAAGCATATTGACATAAAGCTTGAACAATGTTTAAAAGAAGACAACATGCTTGGTTGGTGCTTATTAAAATGCAAGACATGATCATCACCCACTGTTTAATGCACGTCCACATAGTTTGATAAACAATAAATTTATAAGTGCCAATTCTTTCTATATTTTTGTTTTATATAATTTCTAATATTATGTTTGTATTAATGAGATTCTCTGAGTATGTACTGAATGAGTTATTATGGTACAACATAGGGCATTGCTGTTGCACTCAAATGTGGAGCAACCAAAGCACAATTTGATAGCACGGTAAGCGGACCGACTTTTCAGAGCTTGTGTTCTTCGTTATGCTTTTCAGCTTTTATTTCCTTCTTCACATGCCTGTGAAAAGTCTAGAATTGAACATAAAAGATCCCTGTTGAAATAGAATCATTGTGAAAACACTGAAGAATGTAATCACGCCTTCATGTAAATCTCATGTGCCAAGTGCATTCTTGACATTTTCTTGGACTTCCTTTGGAGAGAGGCAGGTTCTATGGTTAGATTCCTCAAAAAAATTATTTAATGAATATCTAAAACAAAAGACACAGGGGAATGTCATTGAAATGACTGGATAGTTTGATTATAAAGCTAGGGGCTGGGTGAAATCTACATCTATCATATTGCTGATGCATCAGTTGATCCATTTTCCAGGTTGGTATACACCCTTCTGCTGCAGAAGAGTTTGTGACCATGCGGTCGATCAGTAGGCGGATCACGGCTGGTAACCCGAAGACCAACCTATAGACATTCATTTTCAATAAAAACATCATACTGAGTATGATTTTGAGAAATTATATTTACACGATAGAGCATGTTGGAGAAACCACTGTGGACATGCCTTTCTGGGATTTCAGTTGAACAGTCTTAGCTTGGCAGTAGTTTGTTTCTTTCACTTCAATATGTTTCAGCTGCAATAGTTGATGAAAAAACTTGAATAGTATTGTAATTTCAACAATTTGCATACAAGGAGCTGTTATCTTGCTTTTGAGATGACTGTACTGGCTTCTTTAACAACGTGGACTAGACTATCGAGCGATATTGAAGAAGAGAAAAGTTACCGTCGACTCAAGTACAGTATTGTGTCAAACATGCCCTTGTGATGAACGGTGCTTTCCTTCTCGAATACCTTTCCATTTGAAATATTCAGCCTTGTACATGATTTATTAAAGTTTTTTCAACTTGTACAAGTTGCTTTTGAACCTCATGTCAAAAATAATAGTGGAAGGTTTAATAGACCAGCAATTAAAGGCAAGTAGGTCCACATCCCTTTTGTCTCTCGCTCTTATCGACTCGGCATTTAATGTTTTGTGAATAGAGTGGCTCGAGTATGACGTGTAATGATTTGAGTAAACAATTTTATGGGTTCTCAACTTTCAAAAACGAAATTTTGGTTTTCCAATTTATTTAAGTATGTGAATTTGAGTTTTTGAGTGACGAAAATTTTCTATTTGGATGTTAAAATCATATGGCTAAATTCGAGATGAAGTGATTTTACTATATATAGCCAGGTCATCTAAAAGTTGCGTGCAATTTTAATGTTCAAATCGATGATTTTCGTAATGTAAGAATCTAAATTCAAATTTAATTAAGTTGGGAAATTAAAATTTGCTTTTGAAGGTTGATGACCACGTGACGTTGGGAAAACACGCCTAATTTGCCTCTAAGGTGGGCCACCAATATAAAGAAAAGTGGCCAAAAAAATTCAATTTGGTGATCTTTTGTTACACTGTCAAAAGACAAACAGACACGTACAGAGACCCATAGAGAGAGGGAGAGAGGAAATTTTTGGACAAGTGTGGGTGAGAAACAGGAGAACCAATATCAAAATAAACACACACACACACACTCTCTCGACAGATCGAGAGCAATCTCTTAAAAGACACAGTATGGACTCTTTTGCAAGGCTGCCGGAGGAATGCATCTCGACCATTCTGTCACTCACATCCCCCATGGACACGACAAAATTCTCAATAATCTCACATGGGTTCAAATCTGCTTCTGATTCTGACAACGTTTGGGAGAGATTTTTGCCACCGGATTATCGGCAGATTATCTCCACGTCGGTTTCTCCAGTATTATATGCCACCAAGAAACACCTATACTTTAATCTCTGTCATTCCCCTATTCTCCTCCATGAAGGCAATACTGTAAGTTCATCCTTGTACACTTCCATTTTATTTCACGTTAAAACACAAAAAACTTCACATGTTTGCTGTTTGCAGTTCACTCCACTGAAACATCTACCAGTAACTCACTGCAGATAATAGTGAATTACAGTGAATCACGTTTAGTCAGGTTAGGTGTTGAGTAGACGCCCAATAATTCAATACGAAAACGCCCTTTTGACTTGAGGTAAACAAGACAGGTGTCCTTTCCATTTTCTGATAAAGTGGTAGATTCCACCTTCGTTTGTTTACTGTTAAAAACTCCTGAGACAATTGACACTTTAATTTAGTTGTTTCTCCAGCATTCTTGATAGATATTCTTCAAATAATCCATTGTGTGGTTCCTTGCAATAAAATATCATTTTCTAGTAATATACAAACTTTGAGTGGTGGAAGAAACTATTACTGTCAAATAGTTAGATCCCTCATGTCAGATCATCAAGAACACATGAACCAAAGCGGAAGGAATTAGACATTCGATTGAATCCTGCAATAATGTCTTTCAAATCAACACAAAGCTCATTTTGCCTCTCATCACGAGAGAGAAAAATTTGACTGTTAACCTAATTCGGCCCATCATGGAATTAGGAATAATAACTTGGTCTCTGCACATAAAAGCCCACATTTAATTAGATGCATTAAAGCCCAAAATATCGTAACTTTATCAGATCACTTTAAGTGGGCTTAACCAATCAAATTTGATAGCTTTTAATTTAATACACAATAATTTACATATAAGCCCACCCGATCGATTAAAAATCATTACATGTGCATCTATAATAATTACCTCTTTTAACCTTGAAACAGAGCTTCTCTCTTGATATAAGGAACGGAAAGAAGTGTTATGTGCTAGGAGCCAGGAAACTTCTACTATCATGGGGAGGATGCTGGAGCTGGACACAACACCCGCAATCCAGGTGCCGAGAGATTATATTCAATAATCACCACGTCTCTTCACGGGCTGACTATTTGCCATCCGAATGAAAATGATCATCTCATCTAAAAGTTTTAAGTTTCAATAAATTTATTTATTTATATATCGTGAGCAGATGGATGCCCACGTGAGAATCTATAATAATTTGAATGTGACTTTTATATTTACAGATTTTCTGAGGTGGCCAAGCTTAAATGTCCTGGTTCGATCCATATTCGGGGCAAGATAAAAACTCAGATGTTGTCATCAAACACTGCTTATGCAGCATATCTAGTATTCCACCTTGCAGAAAGATTGAATGGCCTTGAATCATCAAGAACAGTGATTAGATTCGTCGATCCTCAAATAGGAAACAGTATGATTGTAACTGTAGAGGGCACTGAGAAACCTGAATCAGAAGGAACTGGGAAAATTGCACAGATGAGACGAGATGGCTGGATGGAAATAGAAATGGGAAACTTTTACAATGGAGAAGATGATAATAGAGAAGTGGAGGCCTGGTTGATAGAGATTAATAATCCTGTTGGAAAGTCTGGCTTCATTGTTGAAGGTATCGAGTTTAGACCTGTTTGAGAAGGAAAGGGCATCAAGATGCAGAGTCTTTGAGAGTTTCTTCCTGGTGCATTAAGTTTATTTCATGGATTGAATAAAAATGAAAAGGAAGTTTCAATGGAATTCATGGAATTGAAATTTCAATTTTCTCTACTGAACTGGTAGTGTTGAAGTCCTATTATGGTTGTCTCAACTTAGGCTCAGCTCCAAAATAGCGATGAAAATGGTATTAAGCCAATATTTATAAGATCTTTAAAACTACTATGTAATTACTCGAGTACAATGATTGAAGCACGAATTCGTTAACAAATGAGAAATGTAAAATTACATGTCAACCAAATTTATATAATGTCAATTAATGTATCTATTTTACATCGGTCGAGGAACACCCCCAACTCCTCATCAAAAAGAACAAAACTATATTTATGTGGAATTACGTACAATTTAAGCAGTAGCAAATTTCGTGCCTTCACATACTTCGCAAGATGTGTATCCAAGACCTTCACGGTAAGGACATTTTGATCCTTCATCTGCCCATTCCAGAAACAGCATCACAGAACTGTCTTTAGTTAAAAAGCCACAAAATACTGATATCAGCAACAATGTTTGCATTCAATGAAGCCCTTTTGGTTTTCATATGAGAAGACCAACAAACTGAGCTCTTCGATTAAAATCTAAAAACAATGGTATTTCGAAAGCTAAAAGAGTGCATGCACTGGTTCTGGGATATCTGTAAATGGCATTAATGACCCAGAGATAAAATTTCACTCACAAGTCAATAAATTGACAAATGGAGCCAGCCTAAGAAATCAGACAAGTCCTTAGTTACAAAGATTTATAGCTCAGTTCACTTACTGACGAAGAAAATTAAATTTTGGTCGACTGTTAGTAAAACCATTTGATAGTATTGAACCATAACAAAATAATCAACAAACTTGAACCACTGGCTGTTAGTTGAAGTTATCACTTTTACAAATAACCATAAATAACAACTACAAATAAATCAGAAAGCCTCTAATCTGTGGTTCAATGGTTGGTTCACCAGATCCATCACATTCTACAAAAAAAACTAATAGATATTAGCCCCAGACAGTGTGACTGATAAAAAATTGCATAATTTTGTAAATGACATATATTTTATGTCCATGATACCTAGCTTCCAATTTAAAATTAGCTCATTAGAATCATATACTTCACTATGATGCAATCTAAAGTGAAACTAAGTAAATCCAGACCCCAATTAGGTCCAGATATTCCGAAACAAGTGTTTAGTTCAAGCAGATGATGGAAGTCATAAAGCCATTTACAAAATAGAGAGGATAAATTAAATGGAACAGACTGATACGATGCTCCATTGTAGCAAAATAAAAACCCTTGGATAACTACCAATAACAAATTTGTGGTGTTCTGCATTTTTTAAATTGTTTCACACTTCTACCTTATTGTGCGATTTATGTAACGCTATGATGTCACAAAATCTTGAATTAGTAAGTCGAGCAGAAAATTACTAGGATATAAAATGAATGAGAAAAGAAAGAAAATTTGTACACATGCATGATATTCGGCCTTCCCCACGGCAAGTAAGACACTTGGTTTTAGTATTGCCACCGTCATCTTGGCTGCAGTTTGTTTGCTTTTCCCAGAAAGTCTGGAAGGTTCTTCCCATCGATTCTCACCTAGAAGAAAGACTGGGCGTTGAGATACTTCAATTTCTGTTGTACCTTCTTCTTTTGAAACTGTCTGCTGAACTTCAGATATTGCAGTTGGAGCTCCATTTTCATTCTTCTAAGAACCCACAAAATGAAAAAGTTGAAAGCCATGTAACTCATTAAGAATATTCTGTATCAACATTAAGCTTCTGCTACAACTGGCCTTTACTGATAAAAATATTATATCAAGGCTACCGGAGAAGGCAACGATCAATGTCCGTAATCTAAAACAAGGAAAACCCAAAAAATTAAAAAATTGACTTCATAAGAATATTGGGAAGTTCAAAAATCATAATTGATATCAGCAGTGCAGGTTCTTAAGATGATGGCATCTGCCCTTTGCTATATGGAAATGAAAATTTAAAGAACGTGAATTTATCTGCAGTGCAGGTTCTTAAGAGTATGGCATCTACCCTCTGCTATATGGAAATGAAAATTTAAAGGACGTGAATTTATCTAAGAGAAGCAATGTTTATTAGTGTTCACAATGCGTATTGAGTACATGCCCCCTCCCTATTAAATAGTTGTGCAGTTTTGGGGCTGACTTAACAATGTATGTACAGCTTTGAAAATTCTCAAGACCCAAGCTGTAGAGCCTGAAAACATAGAACAACACATTTGAACAAGTAAAATATCTAGCGCATCAATTCCTTTCACGATTGCTGGATTGATTCTGAATAACATATCACGATCTAACCTAGACAACCCCTTCTTTCAGACATTGGGAATGAAGGAACTAGCACCAGGTTAAACTTGAAAATTCCATTTTTCTCGTTTACTTATATGGGTTCCTGCCCTTGTTCTTCCTGTGCATGGACAATCAGTTTTCTATTCACAGTTGTTTCTTCCATTTAAATTCAAGATGCATCCAGACACTCTTTCTGCTATATTGGTTCGTGGCATGAAAAGCCTGAGCCAATTACTTCATAAGCATGCATCACTAATTTCAAATGAAAAGCAGCATATCTGATATAAAACAGGACTATTTGTAGAACCCAACACATGACAAAAAGCTTAATATAATATTCTCTCTCAATGTTTGCTCAAACTAGCCATTAGTTTATCCTAATTGTGAAAAAAAGAAAAAATCTTTGCAACAGGTTTAGGATATTAATGAGACAAATCAGTTAGTATTTTACATTTTGAGCTGGAAAAGCGAAAAGGCGCCAAATGATGGAACACACCTTCTCTGATAAGTTTGGTTTAAGTCCTTGATTATTGGTCACTCCCAAGCCAGATATTCCAGTATTTTGCTCAATATATAACCTGTCGAGAAGCTCTGAGGTCATAATGCCATCTTCTGGAGCTCCTAATGTGGCCTGTCAATAAAAGGGAAAATAAGGGCAACAAAATCTCAATCATCTGTGCAGTTGTTCCGTCCAAGGAAGATGACTGTATGACTGGTGACCAGATTGTTTAGTGGTACACCTCTTTTAAATTGCAACATACTTGCCAAGTTTTTACAGCACTCTCAGTCCCGCTAGAGAAGCTTTAATACTCCATGTCCTCTTCACCAGAATAAAATCCCAGCTTTTTGAAAGCTTCCTATTAAAAACAATGTAAAATAGAAAAACCATCTCAAATTTAAACAGACATACGTAAAAGTCTAAAAGATACAAAGGAACAGCAAAACATAATCAAAAGAGATCATATAGTAGAAAGGTATGGAAAAACAGAACAAGGAAAGCCTAAAATTGAAAACATTCGTGATAAATTCTATATCAACTAAGTTGAACAAAATATATGATTTAGGAACTTGCAAGTGTACCTGCATGGCTCGAACATCGTCTCCTTCTGATCCTTTTCTCAATGATACCCTCCGTTTCAAATTCTCGTCTCTATCTGCAACTTCCTTCACAATAAATTCCTCGTCCCTTTTAGCAGCCTCAACCACTAGCGGCACGGGAATTGACCCACTCTCTGCAATTCTATTCACATTCTTCCCTGTCTCTCCCTCCTTAATCACCTACAGCAAAACTAAACTATTAATCACTATCAAATAATTTTAGTATTTCATATTGGCACATTCCCAGACCAAGAGTTGTTAAAAAAAGAAAAGTAATATAACAAATATTGCAATAAAAATCAATTTTCAAATTTGTTACCGAGAAATTGACGCATTGATTGAATTGGTGTAACTATTATTTTTAACTAATTGTATTGTTTGAAACACCAAAATGTTAATATTTTGAATATTAAGGTGGTCCATCATTTCCCTCAACCACCTTCTCATAACTACCCATTGTAGTAACCGTTCATATTCCATAACTTCTTTGATGGGAAGAAGTTTATAAATGAAAAAGATTGGTATTGGTTCCCAAGTCCGGATTTTCACGAATATACACCATCACAGAGAATTCTTGAAGACTTGGAAACACCAAATACAATTCGAAATTCTGCAATTTAAACGTCAATGGCTGGAGGTTAGTTCATGATTTTTATTTTCCGCATTTGATCTATATGTTGTTTGTTTATCTACACATGATAGATCAAGATAAAGTCTAATGGTTGGTATCAGAGCATATTTTACCTCTGCCTTGCTTGTTTATTTCTCTGCCATTTTCCCCAGAAATTTATTGTAATTTTTGAGAGATTTCAAATTCTTATTTCATAGTTTTCGATAAAAATAAGATTAGGAATCATTAAGAAATTGGATTTCTAACATTTCTGGGATTTGATACATAAATTTTGGTGTTAGGAATGACTAGAAACTGCCGGGTTTCCAGTTCAGTTGACACCGGGTCAAAATGACCCGACTGAAGGCAGAAGACGATTTGTTTAATAAAAAAAAAAAAAAAAAATGATTTTTCCATTCAAACCACGGTCCCACTTGTAAGAGATAAGGCTTCGCTTGATCTAACATAAAAGTGGAATGTTTAATATTATTATTTTGGAATCAAATTTTGGACCTGCACATGGTATCAGCCCAAATTTTTGAAGTTGTATCTCATTGTGGATCCATGTGCTGGAAATAAATGGGAATTATTTGGTGTTTTTGTTTTCTTATATACTAAACTTTTTTTTGTTTTTTTTTTGTTTTGTATGTATAATTTTTGTTGTTTTGTTATACATGCAATATTGAGTTAAATAATTTAATATATTAAAATTTAATTTTTGTGTTCATATTGCCTATGGATTTGTACAATTTATATAGGCATATTATGTGAATTAAATTAAATGTTGCATGATCCATATAATTTTAATTAATTTGGGAGTAGCCACAACATCCTTAATTATGGAAAACTATAAATTAATTGTTTCAGGATCACATTATGACATTATTTGTGGTTAGTCATATTGAATATAATAGATTTTATCCCACAAGAATTTTATTATATTTGTATGATTAATTAGGATAAAATTTCAACTTATATTTCCTAATTTACCCATAGGAATTAGGAACATGAGCATAATTTGATAGTTTTATCATATAGTTATTAATGGATCTAATTGAGTAGAACTTTAGCCCATAGGCAAGTTTTATGTCACTAGATTTATATCTTTACAGCATGATTTTACATTGGTAAAGCATGACTATGTTTGCTAGTCTCAATTATAATCATGTATGTTTAATTTTTATGCAGTTATGGAACCTGCTAATTTTTGTGACGTTAATTGTGATATTCCCGAACTAAATGGGTGATAAATGTAAAGTCTAGAAGGAGAGGATTCTTCTTCATTTGGGGTGGATGGACATTGATTATACCATTAGGAAAGACGAACCAAAAATCACTCCAACCAGCATTCGAGATGAAATTACTCTTTATGAACGATTGGAGCGATCTAATCGCCTCAGTATGATATTCATAAAGACTGAGATTTCTGCTAGTATTCGTGGTTCCGTCGAAGAGCATAAAAATGTTAAGGCATTGTTGAAGGCTATTGATGAATAGTTTGAGACTTCATATAAAGCACTTGCCAGTATCGTGATTATGAAGTTTTCATCCATGAGGATCACTACTGTAAGAGGTGTGCGTGAGCACATCATGCAAATGAGGGACATTGCGGCTCAATTGAAAACTCTTGATGTTGATATCTCTGAGTCTTTCCTTGTTCACTATACTCTAAACACTCTTCCACATTAGTATGAACCCTTCAAGATATCCCATAACACACATAAGGATAAGTGGTCAATTAATGAACTTTTGGTCATGTTGTTCACGAAGAATGGAGATTGACAATGAAAATGGATGAAAGTGCATTGATGGCGACACAATGAAAGGACAAAAACCAAGCCAAAAAAGAAGGAAAAAGGTAAAATACCACCTCAAGGTGGAATTAAAAAGGAATCCAAGTGTTTCTTCTGTAAAAAAAAGGGACATATGAAGAAAGATTGCACCAAGTTCTAGAAATGACTTGAGAAGAAAGGTAAACAAATCTCATTTGTTTGTTATAAATCTAATATAGTTGATGTTATTTTTAACACATGGTGGATTGATTCTGGTTCTACAATCCATATTTTGAATACCTTGCAGGGTATGCAAAACCTAAGAAAATCAGTGGAAAGTGAGAGGTGCATTTATTCAGGAAACAAGATGCGCTCACACGTGAATGCTGTTATAACATGTAATTTCGTTTTAAGCAGTGGTTTTATTTTGAATTTAGAAAAGACATTTTATATTACAAGTTTCTCTAGGAATTTAACTTTAGTTCCAACACTTGTACCTTTAGGATATTCCTTTAATTTTTTAGAAGCAACTTTCAGTTTATTTTATAAATCTAATCTTGTTGGGAATGATATATTATCTAATGGTCTTTTCTTTATTAATTTGCAAAATAATACTACTTATAATGCTATGCATGTTCACACTGGTATGAAATGATGTGTTATGAATGAAAATTCCTCTATGTTGTTGCACCGGAGATTGGGGCATATCTCCATAGAAAGGATTAAGAAATTAGTAAATGATGGAGTACTAAGTACTTTGGGTTTTACTAATTTCGACACTTGTGTGGACTGTATTAAGGGTAAGCAGACCAACAAGTCCAAAAAAGGTGCTAAAAGGAGCATAGATATGTTAGAGATCATACATTCAAATATTTGTAGTCCGGACATGGACTCGTATGGTCCGAAATATTTCATCTCTTTCATTGATGATTATTTACGATACATGTATATCTACTTGCTTCATAATCAAAACGAAGCACTAGATGCCTCTAAAATTTTTAAGGCTGAAGTAGATAAACAATGCGAAAAACAAATTAAGATCATGAGAACGTATAGAGTTGGAGAATATTACGGTAGATACATCGAAGATGGACAAGCACTTGGTCCATTTGCAAAGTTTCTTCAAGAGAATAGGATAGTTGCCCAATATACCATGCCAGGTTTCCTGGACCAAAATGGTGTAGCAGAAAAAAGAAATCGAACTTTAATGGATATGGTGAAGAGTATGCGAAGTAACTCCAAACTTTCAGAATCCCTGCAAACCGAAGCTCTTAAAACAGCAATCTGTATATTAAACAGAGTTCCAATCAAGGTTGTCTCAAAGACACCATTTGAATTATGAAAATGTTGGAAATCGAGTTTGCGACATATACACGTTTGGGATACCCGTCTGAAGTAAAAGGTTACAACCCCCAAGAAAAAAGCTAGACCCAAGGACCATAAGTAGCTACTTCATTGGATATGCCGAAAGGTCTAAAAGGTACAAATTCTATTGTCCAACTCACAGAACTAGAATTGTGGAGTCAAGAAATGTGGAGTTTCTTGAAAATGACTTGATTAGTGGGAGAGATCGATTCCAGGACATTGTTTCTGAAAAGAATCATATTGATGCTCAACCTTTCATTTCAAGTGACAGATTGATTATTGTTCACAACATCCTTTCAATTTCAAACAGGTGTTGGACAATCGATCGTTGAAGTTTCGTAAGTTGCCAATGATAATCCAGTAGATCTAGGTGTTCACAAATCGCCAGAATTATTGAACAACCAGTGGAACAACGTGATCTTCAAGAAAATGTTGATACAACATTAAGGAGATCTACTAGAGAAAGGAAATCAACGATAACTAATGATTATGTTGTGTATCTACAAGAATCGAAATATAATATCGAAGCTGAAAATGATCCTAAAACATTTTCACAAGCAATGAATTGTAAAAATTCAAGCTTATGGTACAAACCATGAAAGATGAGATGGATTTTATGGCATCTAAAGAAGTCGGGGATCTTGTTGAGTTGCCTGGTGGTGCAAAAGCCATAGGATGCAAATGGGTCTATAAGACGAAGAAGGACTCATTAAGCAACATTGAAAGATATAAAACAAGATTCGTAGCTAAAGGGTTCACTTGAAAAGAAGAAATCGACTACAAGGAGATCTTCTCACCTGTACATATCAATGAAAGATTTACTTCGTATTATCATGGCTTTAATTGCACATTTCAACTTGGAATTATAACAAATGGATGTGAAAATGGCATTTCTCAATGGAAATCTAGAGGAAGAGGTTTACATGAATTAACCAGAAGGATTTTCCTCTAGCGGTAGTGAGCATTTGATATGCAAGCTCAAGAAATCTATACATGGACTGAAACAAGTTTTATGTTGAATATTATGCTCGACATTTAAGTGTTTTTTGGAGCCCAATGATGCAGCCCAAATAAAGTGGCCCCTTTTAACTGAATGTGACCCGGTTTGTCCCCACTTGTGCAAACTCGTGTTTCCTCCAAATGCGACTTTAGTTTGTTTTTAACTGGATGGATCAGATGGTGCTAGGTGGAGTTGGCTGAATCGTTGGATGTAAGTGATTTTTTTATTATACTTAGCCCTAGACTTTTCACTTACCACGATTCGAGAGACTTCTAGGGTTTTGTGAGTCTTGTTCTCTATTCATCCCTTCTTTGAAAACTCTTGGTTTTCATCTGTAATCTCTTGATTTCTAGGTGTTCTTGGTGAGATCTAGTATAGATTACAGTATTCTTGTGATGAATCTACTCACTGATTGAGTGTTTGGTGCTAGTTACTTTGGTGTAATCTGCGTGAGTGAGAATTCGTGTTTTTCAGAGTCTGAGGGCTAGATCTTTTCGATCTATTGTGTTATAATCCGTGAACACTTGATATTTTTGTTGGTTCTAGTGGATTAGAACGATAACCACTTAAAGTGGATGCTCGATGTGGTGATTAGCCCTTTGTGGGTGAACATCCGGGCTTAAGGGCGAAAAATCTTTGGTGTTCTTTCATTTTCTTTTATTGTTTTGTTTACTTCTGGGACTGAAAATACCTACACTTTCCATTGGTGGTATTTGAAATTTCATGATGTTATCCCTTTTTTTTGGATTTGTAGAGAACATTATGGATCAATGTATATACCAGAAGTTCAGTGGGAGTAAGATTTGTTTCCTTATTTTGTATGTGGATGACATTTTACTTGCAATCAATGATAACGTTTTGCCACATAAGATGAAACAATTTCTCTCTAAAAATTTTGAGATGAAGGATATGGGTGACGAATTTTATGTCATTGGTATTAAGATCTAAATGGACAAACCTCAAAGTATTTTGGGTCTGTCTCAAGAGATCTATATCGATAAAGATTTAGTGAGATTTCGGATGAAAGATTGTTCACCAAGTATAGCTCCCATTGTGAAGGGTGATAAGTTTAATTTGAACCAGTGCTCGAAAAATGATCCTGAAAGGGAACAAATGAAGAACATTCCTTATGCTTCTGTTGTTGGAAGCTTAATGTATGCTTAGGTATGCACAAGACTTGACATTGCATTTGTTGTTGGGATGTTGGGAAGGTATCAGAGTAATCCAAGTACGGAACACTGGAGAGTTGCAAAGAAAGTGATGAGATACCTTCAAGGGACAAAAGATTACATGCTTATGTACAAACGGACTGAAAATCTGGAAGTGATTGGCTACTCTAATTCGGACTTTGCTGGTTGTGTTAATTTATGAAAATCAACATCAAGATATATCTTTATGTTTGCCGATGGAGCTGTATCTTGGAGAAACGCAAAGCAGACCCCCCGACTACTACTTTCACTATGGAGGCTGAGTTCGTATCTTGTTTTGAGGCAACCTCGCACGGTGTATGTATGAAGAATTTCACTTTCGAACTTAGAGTCATGGATTCGATTTCTAGGCCACTAAGGATATATTGCGATAATTCAGCTGCAGTCTTTATGGCTAAGAACAACAAAAGTGGTAGTCAAAACAAACACATTGACATCAAGTATCTGGCCATTAGAGAACGTGTTAAAGAAAAAACAGTTGTTATTGAACATGTTAGCAATGAATTGATGATTGTTGATCCTTTGACAAAAGGCATGCCACCATTAAAATTTAAGGATCATGTAGATAGAATGGGACTTGGTTCCTTTGTATGATTTTTGTTGTAAGAACGAATATTAACGAAGCTCTATTTGTGATGTTTTCTCATATTTGTTTTCCTTGTGTACACATTCATTTTGAGAAATATCATTGATGCTTGAACCTAGAATAAGCATGTGGTTTATTCATTAAGTAATTTAGGCTAGTATGTTAAGAAACATGATGCATTGTGATAAATGGAAGATAATACTAATATTTAGAAGACCTATCGCCATGATTCATGTATTTTTGTTTCTTAAAAGTGAGAATTGATGGATTTTGGATATCATATCAAGTGAAATGTATGGACCAAGTGGGAAATGTTAATATTTTGAATATTAAGGTGATCCATCATTTCCCTCGTTTATTTGATATTAACCACTTTCTCATAACTGTCCATTGTGGTAATTGTTCATATTCCATAACTTCTTTGATGGGAAGAAGTTTATAAATGGAAAAGAGTGGTATTGGTTCCCAAGTCTGGATTTTCACAAATATACACCATCACAGAGAATTCTTGAAGTTTTGAAAACACCAAATACAATTCGAAATTCTGTTGTTTAAACGTCAATGGCTAGAGGCTAGTTCATGATTTTTATTTTCCGCATTTGATCTATATGTTGTTTGTTTATCTACACATGATAGATCAAGATAAAGTCTAACACAAAATGCAATTATACATTAACTTTAATTCTCATTTTCGAACTGAAAGAAAAATGAAATAATAAAAATAACTCATCCCATAAGTCTCCCATTTTTTCTTCAATACCAAAAACTATGAAATGATTCAAAAATATTAGCTTAGAGCCTTAATATTGAGCATGATAAAAGAAAGAATTTTCCCGATATCAAAGCTTATTCACAGATTATTAAAGAAATTATTTGCAAAATTATTAATAATTCAAGAACTGCTAATCCAACTCAGAGTTCATTGAAATTTGAATTAAAAAATCACACCATTTAGAAGAGAGAAATTTTCACTTCAATATACTTTTGCAGTAATTTTGCAATATTGGCAACAGTCTTTGAGACACAGGCGCCTTGAAGAGAGTTGAGACGCTCGAGTTCCTGTATTCTTAGCTTAAGACTATTAATTTCTTGCAACAATGTTTCTCGCTTAGCGTTCCAGCAAGACTCTTCCCGCATCCACCTCTGCTCCTTCCTGAGCCATCGTTACTCTTCCCTGAACCACCGCGCCTCTTCTTGTAAGTTACTTTGCTCGAGGGTGGAATTGCGAGCACATGTGGGATTTTGAAAAGGGTCCGGAGGGGAGTGAAACGGAAGTTGTGAAACGTGATAAAAAGTGGAGTTTATGAAGAAAAGGTAGGCTTATCTTTGAACTCAGAGGTAGCGTAGATGACATTTTTGTGT